TTACAAAGGTCGACAGTCTCTCACTTACACCTTTCTTACTTTTTCCCTATTCTTATATTTGCTTGAGCTTCAAGTGAATTGGCACTGTTTTTAAGTCATGTGACTTAACCACACAAGTCATGTACTTTCCCATAATTTGCAAATACATTTTGCAATAAAATGGCTTCAAAATAATGAATGTATCAATCATCGATGCTTATTTTTTAATAAAGAAAATTAATTGGAACTAAAGTAATTTAGAGGAAGCAAACATTAATAAGCTTTCTTGGTGCATTTATTCATCTAAGGAAAACCTTAATTCCTTTTCAGGCAAATTGTGCTATTATATTATGAGTAAAAAACAAAAATCAACGTTTTCTGTGCATAATGAAAGGTAAAATCTTTAGTATTAGTTTTGGTAACACAGTAGACACTAACCCAATTGATGGTAACTTTGCTACTGATGCTAGTTGGCTGTCACTAGTAATAACGATTTTACCTTTCATTGTGCCAAAAAATGTAAATTTTTGTGTTTTTTACCTTTTTATAAGGAAAAAAACTTGTAGGCTTGGAATTGCTATCAGTCATTGTAAATTGATTACCAAAGAACAGGTTAAGTAGTTAAAAATTATTTAATTGTATTTTTTCTAATCTTGTACAATGTTTGAATCTATTGAAATTATTTATTTTCCTAAAAGTTTTGTTTTAAAATGGCACATAGCAGTGTTAAGAATTATGTTACAATATTTGTTGAATATTTACAATATTTGCTGTTTTGCACCAAGATTGTTTTTGAAGTTCATTATTATGTGTTATACAGTATGTGCATATAAAGTAGTGTTACGTCTCTGTATGTTTGCTTGTTAATTCTTACAAGATACAAGTCCTTTCTCTATAAAACTTGTTTATTCTTCCTCAATACAACTTTGTAATGTACTTAATTTTCACAGTTACACACACTATAGTTCACAACAATTCACTCACTTTCTATTGCGCTTAGACTTAATTGTCCGTCCCCGCAAACTATAGTTCAGATCTCTGTGTCTGCTATCCTCAGTTCCCGTCGACCGTAACTGCTGTCTTTCTTTCTCTCTGCCTGCTTCGTCTCCGCTACGTCTCTGTCTTTGTCTCCACTATTGCTTCGACTCCGTCTGTCTCTCTCACTGTCTAGCACACTTATATACGATAATACTGCCTGTTCTAGAAACTTCTAAGACTCTCAACACGTGCTACCAGCGTCAGTTGACGCAACGCTGTCGCAACACACTAGTGAATCTTCTAGAATACTCGTCACGTGACCTCACTGTCGTAACAGTAGTATACTTCTCTGGTTGTCCATTATGTAATTGTACAGTTTTACATACTGTCAGTGATTTACAATGCAAGCTACTTCACATTTCTGTCATTTGTAATCATAAAAAAATAAATTGTAAATGGTAACAGTATATTGTACCAAAGAACATGCCTGTTAATTCATAGTGTTTTTTAGTAACAGTTGGTAAATTAACTAATTTCCAAAGTAAGAAGATTCATTGTGAGATTATTCACAGATAATTATAGTAAAACAGACAGCATGGTGTATTTTTTCCATACATAACACTTATACCACTGTATTACTTGTGGTCACTATATTTAAAGTCTAATATGTGTTTGTTTAAGAACCTTAAAATATTTACTTATTTTGCAATAATTCCAAATCATCTCTGGATAATGAAATTTTGTTACTTTGAAATAAAAGTTTAAGTATGTTTTTATCTTCATTGTTTACTTAAGCAAAAAAATGTTAGACTTAATTTATTGTGAGATAAGTTAAATCTGTGCAAACTTATTATTAAACCATTGCTCCTGTAGTTTAATTTATTGTACCTATGAATTATAACTAATATTCATCTCGCAGTGTTCAGATTGAGCAGCTAAGGGAGTTATTTTAAGCCCTTCGTGTTTTCGTTAGGAAGCCAGTTAAATTATAATAGATACAGGACATTGTTTGCTTTGTGCATGTTATTATTCTGTGTTCTTAAATACATTATTTAAGTATATATAAATTATTTAGTGTACAAATACAATCATTTAAAAAAAAGTAGGCTTAAATTTAATCAGCAACTGATAGAAAAAACAAAAGGTCAAAGGTAAGAACTATATTTCTTAATTTTCATGTATATTTTTATTTATTGTTATAACAGTAATTAAAATGTAAAAATTAGAAACATGTTAGGTTACATTATGTAAGATAATGAAAATAGAAATTATAATAAAAAAATAGTTCATGAGGTATGCACGTGAGCAGCTTGTGTGTTATGTCACTCAATATGGTAATGTGAGCTATGCATTTAGTGAGTGACTTATAACTTGTATGGCAGGATTATTAGCCATTAGACACATTAAAACAATAAAATTAAGTAAAAACAGATGTAGGCTGTTATGAGTTGTAGTTTTCAGTTACAATCTGCAGTCATTCTAGTAAGAAAAATATGGGTCAATTAGATTTATTTCATTTTTTTATAGTGGTTACAAGGTCATCCAACTCAACCGTGTTAGCGTAGATTTAGGATAGAGAAAATGGCGGATAAAATATAAAGTTTTACTGAATAGAATACCTTCAATATTTACTTAGGAAGTTTTAGAGGTTAAAAAATGAAATTTGAAAATTCTCAAATGTAGAAAAGTATTTTTAATCTTAACATGAAAATCACTTTGCACTCAGAGCAGTCAACATTGACCCCATATATTCTTGTACAAATCTTTTGTAAAAATAGCTAATTAGAAAATCAGTTTTTGTGTAAGAAAGAATTGTAATGTTTACTAAAATCTTGCCAAATTTCATGAAGGTACACCTACCATATTAAAAGTTATAACATGGAAATTCTGATTACTTTGTGGTTACAAGGTCAGTCACATCGACTGACCCTATATGGAAATAATTAACAACTCAAACACAGGTAAAGTTTCAAAAAGTACAGTCTCAAGAATGTGTCAGAGAATAGCTCCTGGAACAATGGCACAAGGTGCTTTGGACAGGCAAGCCTAAATGGGAATTGTATGTTTCCAACTGGCATGTATATGTTTGCTAAGGAGTCAATGACAGATGCCAGAAGGGGAGGGCCTTGTGCCTACAGCCAAGCATGTGGAATGCTTTGTGATGGTTTTGGGTGCAATATCTGCAATGGTGTTGGCCATATTTAAAAAATTGATTGAAACATGGATCATCATAAATACTACTATATATATTAATCCATCATGTTATACCCTCTAGGAAGAAGCTGATTTAATATAGTCTATAATTTCAAGATGATAATGATGTCAAACACACAAGAAATGTCAATCAAATAAAGGAAGCTCAGGAGATCTCCAGTGAGTGAAATGGCCACCACAAAGTCTTGATCCTGTAGAATAAATCTGGGATTTGCTGGACTACATTTACAAAATTATTGAGGTGTTCTAAAAATGTTGTGCATTACCACATATCTAAGTATTTAAACAGTTACTTGTCCATTCTGCAGCACCCTTGCTTGTCAATTGTCATATTCTATTGTTAGAAATGACATGACAAGCAATTTTTGTTATTCAAACATTATATATGAATTTGAGGCTAGTTATGAGGTTGTATTTCACACCTAACAACATGATATAAAATGTTCTTATAACAGTAGCTAATGTCAGGTTTGTAATTATGTTTATCCAATGTGACTGCATATTGTATTAGTGAGTTTGCTTATGAGTAAGATTTCTATTCCAGTGCTACAGTTAGTAACCTCCAACAGAAGGTGGAACAGCTACAAACAGCCAATACGTTAATGAAAGAAGACCTGGCTATTGCGAAGAATCAGGTTTTGATGCTTGATGAAGAAAATTCAAGACTTCAGTGTGCTCGCAGAGAACATTTTACTGAGCATAATAAAAAAATTGTGGTAAATGTAGTTTCACATGTCAGAATAAATTATAGTTTTTAATTGATATTTGAAATTATCATGTAAAGAACTTTAATTTTTTAATCAGTATGTTTCAAATTGTAGGTAGAATTTTAAAAATTCTGATTATTTTTTAAGTCATTTGAAAAGTTAAGTGTAACTTGTTAAACAAAATACAAACAATAATAAACGATGAACCCAGTTCTGTTATGGAGCTAAAAATTATCTCCACCCTAAAGACAATAGACACAAAAAAGTTTAATTTTCAGGTTAGTTTTTTCCCACCAGCTGACATTTTTAGTTTATTTGGTATTGCAGTGTTGATGTATAGCTCTGTTTACCCAAAACTAACTTGTTATTCTTCAGTTCTTCTTATGTTAGAGATATATTATAAAATGACCAGCCAATATCACAAGTATTTCATCAAAATGAAATAAAGACCACTCCTCTGCTGGAAATTTTTCCATCATTATACTTTCTACTTAACATCAGTTACAAACTGTACAATTGGTCAAAAATTTGATTTGGATTTTGACTATATCTCAACACTGAGAACCTTATACAGATTTTTCAGAAAAATGCAACATCCTAGTGTCATTAAAAAAAAACAATGTGAGGAATGTTACACTAGGGAAACAAGATAATCCATAAAACAGAACATTAAAAAGTAAAATAAAATATCCAGAGTGATTTTTAAATCCAGAAATGCAGCAATAGATGATTATTTTTACTTTACAAGACATCAGGTTGAATTGGACCAATGCAGCATTTGAAACTTAAAAATGTGAAAAATGAACTCTGTGAGAATAAATTGATCAAAAATAAGGATACATTATCATTGAGAACACATGATTTACAATAAAACCAAAGCAGATTTAATGCTTTGGGTGATTCACTTTCTAGCACTTATCACATTAATTAAATTCTACACTTAGACTATGCTACACTTGTTATAACAGCCTTTGCGATTGCTTGGTTGAAAAACTGGGTCAGAGGTGAGTGATGTCACTCAAGGAAAACAAGGCCAGTCATGGTCGGCTTCCTCTGTGTGTACCATTTTGTGCATGGAAAACTGTCGGTTTGTTTATGTGAAAACAATTCGTTTTTTTTACTGGACAAATTTAATTTGACAGACATTGTGAACATAGTTATTCATGAGTAAACAACTATGGTTTTTGCTGTGCCGTTAATGAATGTGGTAATATTTCCAAGAAAAAGAAGGTATATCTGAACAAGTTTCTACCTATGTCAGACAGAAAACGGCACATGGCCTGGAAAAAGTTTGTGTCAAGAACTCGTGATAAATGGAGTTCGACTGAAAGCAGCCATGTATGCAGTGAACACTTTTTGGAATCAGACTTCCAAAATAAACTACAATTTGATATGGAATTTGCAAAAACCTGGTGCTAAAGAAAGATGCATTGCCCGGTATGTTTCCAAAGTTCGAGGGAGATCCATTGAGCACAGTGAGCAGCAGTCAGGCTCATGACAATTGCACATTACAATCTTGTTCACAGACCCATAGAAGCGATGATAATTGTGTCCAATCTGCTGTTTGAAAATGAAAGGCATACAGGGTAAACTTAAGTTTAGGTAATGTTTTAAGCGCAATGTAGAATTGTCAGCAATTGTTCAGGTTTTATAAATACACCAGTAGATCAGCTAAAACAAAAAATGTTTATAAAATTTCACAGCTCAGCTATTATTTGCCAACAAAAGGGTGTGGACAAACAATTGTCTGTTTTGTTTATTTATTTTTCATGTTTATAACGCTTTTTTTTATGAAATTTCATTGGAGATGTCAAAATACAACATAAATATATCTACAATATTGAGTATCGAAACACGACCCCGGGTATGTTTGCTTTTCCAGTCCTAATGTACACTTAGGCATATGCATACAAATTGGAGCATGTGCAGAATACAGTATCAAGAGTTTATCAGCTGATATTAGCTCTACATCTAGATATAGATCCATCACTTGAAAAAACAAATATTGACTAGTATTTACTCATAGATTTACTATATTATCACCCATGTGACCATACTGGCGGCTATAAATTTCGTCCCATTTTCATGACATTAGCAATGTAAACCAGTCTTTTAGGATGTTGTAACATATAACTATAGAAACAATTTCATACCAAGAAAGATCAGACCACTGCCAGTCCTCTTCCACTTTGGTCAACATTAGACACGTTATCATCTGCAAGCTCTGGTTCAAACATATATAGTGTGATTGACACATTACATCTACCTTCCTCTTCACCTGATATAACCATTTTTGTTTACTTCGTGTGACGTAGGTTTGCCCACCCAGTTTGCAATGTAGCGCTCCTGCTAGTTTTTCTTAAAGCTAGCCAACCGTGACCAAATATGGCTTGGAGACACATGAGCTTGAGTGTTTCATGACTTTTTTTTAATCATATAATTTTTAGTGCAATACAATATACACATTCAAGTATGAAAAATTTCCTATTATCTGTGGTGTTTAAAAGAAATTTTAAGTTGATTGGTATGCCACCCCTTTTTTGACATTAAAACTCCTACCAAAATACTGGAATAAGTACAAATACATAGATGCTGGAGTAATTGTATTGTAGATAAAACCATCTTGATGCTTTAAATGTTATTAACACAACATTTTTTATTTTGTCTGTTTAAGTACACTCACATTGGTATCATATCAGTAGAATACAAAATAATATGTGGTCATTGTTCTTTTGAAAAACAGTATAAAAATTTATTTTTTAGGAAACTCAAGAAGATCTGATATTGGAAAGAGAAACTTATCATAACAATCAAGCTGGACTAGAAAACCTTTGTAGTGAGTTGAAGAAGAAGTTGCAAGAAGAAAGCAGTTTGAAGCAGGTAAGTCAACATTGTGTGAACTTATGTTGAACTAATTATTCTAAAAAGTAATTGCAGTTGGATGTAACAAATTAACAAAATATATTGTAAAAATATCACCAAATAGAAATATCCACTGCGGGAGGATGTATGTTTATAGTGTCTGTTTTTACAAAAACTGATAATGAATGAATAAGTGATATAATAATAATATGTTAATTTTGTAGGACATAGAACAAGACCTCCAGACACAGATAGCATTGAAGACAGAAGCTGAAATGGCCTTAAAGCTACTAGAAAAAGGAGTTCATGAGAAGCAAGACACCATAATATCCTTACGTCGACAGATAGAAGACATAAAAATCATTAATTTACAAATGTACAACAAGTTACAGGTAAAGTAACCCTAACTATAAGCAGTACATGTGTTTCTGTAAGGGTGTATAAATGACTTTTAGTAATTTCATGAAGAGCTTTTTGATTTTCTAATACATTTTTCTTACTTGATTTTTGTCTTTATTTCCAAATTAAAAACCAAGTTATTATTATTTTGGTTCTTTTTATTAATTTTTAGTCAAACTAATTTTAGTTGTAAAAACTTGAATTATTATTGTTTGTGCATTTGTTCCCATGATTTTGCAAGGACTGTACTCATTTAACTTTGCACTAGTGAGTTGAAAAACAGTTTTTTTAATGAAGAGCAAGAATATAATTCTGATAAAATAATCTTACAAAATTTCTTGATGCTCTTTTTGCATTCATGTTAAACAGGAACCTATCCTGTTAGAATGGCAGTATCTTTTCACTTTGAGGAAAAGAAAGGAGTGTATGTGTCATATATCAGAAAAACCAAAAATAAAAAAACTAAACTTACATGAATATCACTTTCAAAACCCAAAACAAAGTCCTATACCTGTTTATACACATTTTTAAAGTTCGTATGTTAAATATTGTAGAAACTTGCAGGATATTTTTCTTTTTAAAGTTTAACTATGTTTTTTCCCTATGGAAAAAAGGCTATTTTACAAAAAAATGTTTATTTGCCTACTGAGAACTGTTTTTAAATATATCCTAGGAATGTGAAAGATGGTTTTTATAACATTATTTTGTCTTTTTTTTCATACTGTGTTATGCATTAGTTGTGAGCCTGTTAACCCTTTAACCCTGGGCAGGTTAAAGTGCACATATCAGGACATTTTAGAGAGTTATTTTCAAAATTTTATTAAATAACTTTATTACTACTTATGTCAATGAAATTGGCATTAAAATGTTATGTATAATTCAAGTTTTAATATTATGTATGTTTTAATTTCTTAGTTGAAAAGGAAATATAAAAAAAGGCTAAATATTGATTTTCAATACAGTACTTACCCCATGTCACAAGATTAGCTATTCTTGTTCAGTGCTGCCCTCTATATGCGAACTTTTTCTTTACACATGACACAAGCCTTGCACTTCCCCCCCCCCCTTTGGAATTGCAAATTTCCAACATGTTTCTAATGCAAATCATCATGCATCACCTCCTCACCAATAGGAGCATGACATGCTCACGTGATGCATGTGACTCCCTCTACACTCCTCTACCAAACTATCACTTCTCGTTTGGCAGAGCTTGTGTTCAGACATGCACTGTTGTTTGTTTAATGTTTCACGTTCGACTTTGTTTCTTCACAAAGTGGTTGTTTTTTATTCAGCCTGTTTCTTCTATTAGTATTTATCAGTTAATTCTATTTGCCTTATTTTCTACACTCAATTTGTGAACCTTTCTGTGCAATGAATTCCAAAATTAACATTACCACTTTGGGGGTTACACCAGTGACCAGTCTTTTTTTCTCAGGCCTCAGGTATGGGCGACCCGACAGTAGATTTATCTGCTTTTATACACTGGGAGATCGAATGTTACAGGGGACAATTTTTGTCATCTTCAGCTCTGGCATTACATATGTGGTTTCTTTGTTGTTGGGACCCCTAAGGGTTTTGATGCCATGTTGGCTTGGGTCTGTTTATCCTTTACATATCTTATGGATTTATGTCTGGCCCCATTTCTGAGGCATTACATTTTTGATATGGTTCCAGAAACTCTAGAGCCTCGGGTGACATCAGTCCAGCAACAATCCACCCTTACAACTTTTGTAGCTGGTTTGTCTCAGTCAGAGCCTCATATGCCTCCAATTACCATTTCCCATCCTTCCCCTTCCAAGCCCTTATCTATCTCTCCCCGGTCACCACCAGTACCAGTGACTACCCAGTGGGTTCTGGTCCTGTAGGAGCTCGACTGTTCAAGTTTCTTCATCACTGGAATTCTTCTGTCAGTGATCAATGGATGCTTCAGGTTCTGTCAGAAAAATTCGTTGTTCAGTTTCTTCCACCTCCCTCCCATATCTCCTTACCCCACTTCATTTACTCTTCCTTGAGATCCTGTGACCAGCCAGCACATTGTCAGAAGAAGCTTGGGAATTGCTCTTGCAGCAGGCCATTGCACCTGTTCCCCATCCTTGCTGCTCATTTTTATTGTCCCCAAGAAAAGCAGGATTGGTGGCCAGTAATCAGTTTATCTTGCCTCAACCACTTCGTTTCACTATCCCAGTTCACCATGGGATCTTTTCTCACCCTGAGATTGGTGTTTTCTCTCAGGGTTGTGGATGACCAAAATGGATGTTTCCAATGCTTACCTACATATACCGATATCACCTTAGTCTCATCCTTATCTTCAGTTTGTCGACCACAGAGTGGTTTATCCATTTCGGGCCCTCCCCTTCTGACTTGTCTCGGCACCTTACATATTTTGCCGAGTAGTCCAAGCCTTTGCTCAACATCTCCATACTCTGGGGCTGCGATTTCAATACTACATGGATGACTGGCTTCTTCTGGCTCTTTCCAAACAGGAATCAGCCAATCATACTTCTGTGGCAGCTCGAGTGGGCTGGTTGATCAAACTAGAGAAGTCCTTCCTCAGACCCACTCAATATCTTGTCCATTTGGGGGTATTTTTCAGTACTCATATCAGTTGGGCACCAGCCTTCTCCTTTACAACTTCTTTCAATGGAACTATTGGTTTGCCACGCTCTTTCAGCTCAGACACTTACTGCTCGCGAGGTTTTATCACTTTTGGGATGTGGTCATCATTGACATCATTGTTGTGCCCATATCAGATCCCTTCAGTGGATGCTTCACGATTGATGAAACAATGCTTGGGATCCTCTTTCCACCCCCATTACCCTTTTTCCCTGTGAGGCAATCTGCTTTGGTGGTTGGACAAAGCCCATATGTCAATGGGCTTGCTGCTTCTTCCACCATGTCTGGATGCATCCCTACATGGATGGGGGGCATGGGTCGATCACCAGGAGGCTTCGGGCCATTAGTCTACAGACAAAAGTGGTTTGCATATCAATGTTCTCGAACTTCTAGCCATACATTGGGCATTGCGTATCTCCCTTCTCACCCGATATTGTCTGGTGATTGTTCTTTCAGACAATTCTATGGTGGTGGCACATATCAAACACCAAAGGGGCTCCCGGGCCAGAGGTATCTGTTTTTGGACATGGGATCTCTTATACAGGGCCCATGCACATCACATTCATCTTATTGTGTTTCATGTGCCAGGTGTTTCAAACTGGTTGTGGATCATCATTTTCACCCAAACCAGATATCTCCCACAAAGTGATCATTAAATCCCCCCATTTTCAGGGATCTTTGCCATTGGTGGGGTTCTCTCCTTGTTGATGCTTTTGCTATGGGCCTCAACAAGTTACCTCACACCCAGGCTCTGGCAATCCAAGCCCTCAGCCAGGATTGGTTTCACAAATACCTTTATGTGTACCCTCCCATTCGTTTGCTTCATCGGATGATTTCTATCATCCACTCCACTCCTTGTTGGGTCCTCCTGATTGCTCATTATTGGCCAGCTCAGCCTTGGTTTCCATGATTACAGTGACTGCTCCTCTTCCCTCCTGTCTCTCTTTCACTTTCTCCCTTCTTTGTCAACTTCAGTCACATGTCCTATATCCCACACTTCACGTCCTGCATCTTCACATCTGGCTTTTGTCTGGTCCGTGGCAAGAAGATCTGGTTTCTCAAGTCGGGTTGCTTGCTTGTTAGCTGGTCCCATTTATCCAATTGTGTTAGAAGTGTTCCAACACAAGTGGAAGGTATTCTATCTACAACTAGCCCACTGTAGCTCATGTGGCAGAAGTTCTCACCTGGCTCTTTGATCGTGGGTCTTTTATCTTTCAAGATATCAGGCAGACTTATCTCATACCTTTCATTTTTCCCTATACTCTAGAGTTTTTACTCCCCCTGTCCTTACCATGCTCATGGGTTCTTTCCAGATATATCGCCCACCCAGGCGACTTACCCTTACAGATTGGGTTGTTAATGTGGTCCTCCATTCTCTTACTTTACCTCTGTTTGAACCACTTTTCTCGTGTTCCATGTTTCATCTTTCCCTTAAAACATATTTCCTTCTTCTCTTAGTTAGTGGACATTGACAGTCTGATTTGTTTGCCATTGACATTTCACATACCCTTTATCACCCCACTTTATCCAGAATGTTCCTTTCTCCTAAAGACATCGGCAGCTCGGGAGGGTAGTTCCTCCTTATCTCCTATTTCCCTTCTTTCCATTGCCCATCTTTACCCTTGACCAGATCCGGATATGCTTCTGTGCCCAGTCAGGGCTCTTCGCTGTGATATTACCCATACTTCTTCCTTCTGGGGTACACTTGCTGGACTTTTTATCCCCTGGCAATCTTCTTCCCTTTTTAATCTTTCACATTCTATCCTCACCAATTGGGTCCATCTTTTGGTTTGATTAGCTTATTCCTCCCAGAATTTGTTCCAGGTGTTATTCCATCAGTTCCAATACCTCATCTTTTCCTTTGCTTTTCATCTTTGTCATTCAGTGGAGGGGATTCTGCAGTTTGGCATGTGGACCACACCCAGTACATTCATCTCCCACTATGTTCATCATGTTGCAGTTTCCACTTTGTCAGAATTTTGTCTACTACCTGTGATCATTCTTCAGACTTCAGTATGACTGTAACTGGTAAGTTTGTATTCATACTTTCTTTTCCTTTCAGGGACTTTTCTCTATTTCTTTATCCCATTGATCTCGTTCTGTGGCAAGTGGTGCCTGATCAGGTATTCTTTAACTCAAAATCCACACTGTCCAACCATATTGACTCATGCTTTATCTTCCATGGCTTTGCAGGCTCACTGTTGAGATAGAGTGTTCTACAAAATTGCTTGTAGGTGCATGACCTCGTGATATTTTGCTTCATAAACATGCCCATCCTGGACCTTACCACCATGCTTGCCATGCCTGGAGTGAATAATGTAGTATAGTCTGCTTTTCAAAATAAGGTTTCATGGTCACCCATTGCACTTACATCAATCAACAAGGGGTCACCTGTTCACCTTCCCTTTACTATAAAACATTAGATCTTTTCTGGACCAAACTTACCATGTTAGCCTTTTGGCTCGTCATGCCCAAGGTGTTCTCAATCTTGTTGCAGATCGTTTATCTTATCCCAACAGGATTCTTCCCATGGAGTGGTCCCTCAATCTGCAGGTCTTTTACTGGTTGTGTTCATGGTGGCATACTTCTCTGATAAATGCATTTGCCACCAACCCCAATACCAAACTTCCATTGTTCTGGTCCCCGGTTCCACATCCTTTGGTGGTCATTGTCTTCACTTAGTATTGGGACAAACTTTACCATTATACTTACCCTCCTATCAGTCTCCTTCCCAGGGTTTTCTCCATCATCCAAACCACTCTGTGTCAGGTCCTTCTCATTGCCCTGTTCTGGCCTGCTCAAACATGATTCCCCATTATTTCAACTGCTTCATTCTTCACCTTCGCTCCTCCTCAGTCCACATACCTCATCTACTAACCACACTCCTCTGTGTTTCACCCTACCATTCCCACACTCTGGCTTCATGTGTGGCTTTTGTCCAGTCCCTTAAAAGGTTGAAACTTTCCATACATGTAGTGTCCCTTCTTTCCAATTCAGTCTGCCCTTCTTCCTTGTCGATTTATCAGAGTAAATGGTGAATTTTTTGCTGTTGGTCTCTACAGTGAGGTTCCCTTCCCTTCTGTTCAAGTATCCTTCATTTTTTGTATTTTTTTACTTGGTTGTATGACAATGGTCTCTTTGCATTGAACATTGGAGGCTATAGAGTGACCTATTCCTCTACTTTTTTTTCCCCACTTCTGCTATGTGTTTTTCTACCCCATTTTTCACCCCCTTGTTTTAAACCTTTCATCTTTTCCATCCTCCTCACTCCACACCAGAATCGGATTGGAGTTTTAATGTCCTTCTCCATGCCCTTACTCTTCCTTCATTCAATTCTTGGTCTTTCTGTTCGCTATATCACCTTTCTATGATTACCTATTCCCTGCTCCTTTTGGTCTGTGGTCATCATCAGTCAGATGTGTTTGTCCTCAGCATATCTTGTATCATTTACCATAGTACTTATATTCTCCTTTATTCCCATTGCTTCTTCCTTTCCAAGACCTCAGTGGTTCATGAGGGTAGTTTTGCTTTTATGCCAATTTCCCTACCATCCATTTCCCATTTATATTTCCATTCTGATCTGGATCACTTCCTGTTGTCATCTGGGCTTTCGTGTTATGTGGCATACACAGCTTCCTTCTGTGGTTCCCATTCCCAACTCTTTCTCCACTGGAATCCTTCCTCCCAATTACACTTATCAGTTGGGTTTGCAAACTTATCCATTTGGCTTATTCTTCTATGTCATCTGATTCCTATCATCTTTTTTTGGTTTCCTCTCACAAGATCCACCACTTCACCATATCCCTGGCTGCTCATTTCTGTTGACCATTGCAGGAGATCATCCAGGCTGGCACACGCTTTTGTCACTCTTTATCTACATCATTTTGTCATCTCCTCAATCAGATACAGTCTACCTCCTGTCACCATCTTGCACTCCTCAGTTTAACTGTGAGTTGTTTTGTTTTTCTTTAATTTATTTTTCCCTTACAGTGACCCTATGCTTTAAGTTGGATCCCACTCTATGGAAAGTGGTGCCTGCCCAGGTACACTGTTTGGTTTTTGAACCCCCATTTTACCTCCTCCTGGATGTTGGTTCCAAGGGAATCTGGTTCTGGATGTGTGCTGGGCCAACCATCATATCTGCACTGTATGACCTTTAAAGTCTATAATACCCTCTGTTAAGATGTGGTGTTCTGGGAGACCTCTGGTAGGTTCATCTTTATGATATCTTACATCTTAAATATGCCCATCAGAGACAGTACGGACTCATGAACTATCACGAGTAAAGCAGGGAGGGGTTTGTTACCCATCTCTCCGTTCCTGGTTGAGTACTTCAGGTTTGGCCAGCTTTCAAATAAGAGTTCCTTGGTCACCCAATGCACTTTTTTCTGTGATTTTTCTCTGGGCTCTCCACTGCACTATTCTCTCCCTCCTTTAGTGAAGTACGGGAGTTCTTACCACTTACCACCTCCTAACCACTGGGGTGGTGGACCATAGAGACTACCTCATGAATGTGCTTAATATTCCCACTCAGTTGAGAGAAGGGCAGTGGTGTTCTGCTGGTGTGGATGATGTGTACTTTCCTCCTACCACAGACCTGATGTACAATTCCAAATGCCATCTGGTTATGGACTACATGAACCCACTACATGCAGTTCACCCCACTGGATGTGAATACTCATTGCTACCAACACCTAGATGTCGGTTTCTGGGTATGTTGGTGTTGGTTGAAGCTGGACCAGCCAACATAAGTCTTCACTTATGTGATTTGGCTGGGATCCTCCTCCATACTGCAGATGGGTGATACATTTTAAGTACTGCCTGATTTTGGGCTGGAGTTGGCCTCTATGTTGCATTCCACCTTCACCCAGATTTCTAGTTCTTGGATGGCTGTTGGTTGTGTACTAGGTTTGCACATATTTGCTGGCCAGGGTTTCAGGAACAGAAGACCTCTTTCCTTTCTGATTTCTGGACCTAAGGTGAAGACAGTAGGGATCCTTCTCCTACTGTGGGTTGGATGCTCCATTCCTGGTGCTGCCAGGTTTTGTACTGGAGCTGACCCATCAATTATGGTCTGATGCACCCTAGCTACTCTACACCATTTATGCATCCAATTTCTAGAATGTACTTCTTTCCACCCTTTTTGCAACATTTTTCTTGAATAGAAGAGAAGAGTATACCTGGTATGGATGTGGTGCCATTTCCCACTGGTCTGCCCCCATTCATTGAGGTTTCACACTCCATGGGCTCTCTTTGGATGCTTTCCTAAGGGTTCTCATCTGGGTAAATATGCACTGGTCACCCTACCATTTCAGTGTGGGATTCTAGCTATTCTGTGAGAAGAGGTAAGGTATCATATCATAAGTTAACATTTTTCTACACTGAGAATGTATTTCCAATAGATATTTACTTGTCCTCCTAACTTCCGATGCTTACTTGTTTGACTAATTTGAAGTGATGATTGGATACTACAGTATAGGGGGAGTGAGCTGCACTAGAAGGGTGTGTCACACTCTTATTGGTGGAGTGTATGCATACTACAATGCAGATGTTCCATGTGCAAACATGTGGAGGTAGATGGGAATGCCAAGCTAGTGGTGAGTGAATTTGGAGATATAGAGGCAGTAATCATTAAGGTGAGCTATTCTGTGAGAGATAAGTATCTATTGGAGGTACATTTTCAGTGTAGAAAGGTTTTAACTTTTGTGATTATGTACTGTTTATTTAGTGTACTTTGCAGAGAAAAATGAAGAAAATATTTCACCTTTCATTTCTGCATAGTTCCAAAAAGCCTTGCCTATAAACAATGCATTCATCTATTTTTAAGAATTCTTCTGCCCAGCCCAGTATATATAAAAACTATCATCCCTTGAAGGTATAATGATTTATGTATAGTTCTTTGCTTGATTTTCCTTCTAAATGGCTAAATACCAATAGATATAAAATATTATAAACTGCATATATTAATGTACAGTAAATATAGAATTTTGAGCAGTAATTTGTGGTTCTTGGAACTACCTGAAGCTTCAGTAGCATTGAACAAAGAAATCTAATGTGAATTTAGAAGATTTAACAATAAAGCACAGACTTGAGGACTTTATTGCTTTATTAGATGTTCTTTTTGTTTCTGAAAATGTTTATATATGCAATTCTATCTGTTTGAAAACCACAGAAATTTTCTTCTGTGAAAAGACTTCAGGCAAGTTTAGTTAAGTTTAATGAGATAGTAGGCAAAAGTAAAATATTCTAATGACTCAAATCCTTATTTATTGGATATTGCTAAGTTAATCGTACTCGGTTAAACAATGCACATACAAAAAAGAACTTATGTTGAAAAGAAACTATAGTTAATGTATATATATTGATTTAGACCAAGAATATGGTTAGCAAATACCTCTGATACCTAGCCTGATTAAGTTAATAGGGATGCTAGGTCACCAATAAATCTGTCTGCTTTTGCTATGTTTTGTATGATTAATACACAGAAGTGATTACAACTGCAATCAGCAAAATAAAGTATCAAAAGAAACATGGTAATGAATATCTACCAGGTTGAAACTTACTTGTATACAAAATGGAACTTTTTAGTCAACAATAAAAAATTAAATTCTAAGAGTTAAAGAAGCATTTTTAATCATTTTCTTCACACTTGTGTCTAAAGCTGAGAGATTAACTTGATGAGGTGAAATTATAGTTAAATCTTAATGTGAAGAATAATCTAATCAAAATTAATGTTTCCAGTTATTACTGTTTTTACTATTCCAACTATCTAATCAATCAAAATATTGCTGTTATTATCTTCCATCAATTCAAGTTGTTTGTATTTTACTTGATTAGCTGGCTCACAACAATAAACAACTAATCAAAATTAGTGTTTCTAATTATTATTAGTATATTTCAATATTCCAACTATCCAAGTCTCATGTGACAATAATTGATTAGTTGAATGTAATCAATTAATGAGCAAGATGATTAATTAATTATCAAATTTCACTAATTGCCTAGTTCTACCAGGGTCTTGTATAAATATCTTGGAGATGTCACAACTTAAAAATTTATAAAAATATCAAATTTTGTTAACTTTTTAAAGCAGAACCTGGATACTATGTAGTAAGTTTGTATTAAGTTGCAAGCAACTTTGGTGAAAAGGGAAAATTATCATGTGAAATCGCTGACACTCCTCTAACAATGTGTTGCCCTAGGACATAAATTTGTTTTACTTTTGCTTTAAAATATTACCCAGACTTCCTGTTTGGATATAGTAACTGGAGTGTCTGTTTTATTTATATATGTATTTTAATGTTGAAGTATAGTTATCTGGTGTTTTATTAATCAGGAATGTGAAAACCTTGTTAAAGAAAAGACAGATCAAGTTAGCCAACTCCAAAAGAAGGTGTCAGAAATGACTTTCAGTCTCCAGCAACTAGAAGCTAAGTATGGGTCCTCTAGTGTACCTGACAATTAACCCTGTCTGTCTCTCCCCTTGCTTGATATGTTTAACAGCTCTAGTTTATACAATGATTATAGGTTTCTAAACTTGATTCCAGGAGGATTCTGCTGTTATTTTCTCTATACTTGCCAGAGTAGTCTCTGAGTGTGCTCTGTTAAGTTTCTAGTTAGTTATAACTTTTGAGGATATCTTTTTATAAGTACACAATCTAAAAAAAATTTTTTTTTTGTGTGTGTAAAGTAGACTATTGAACATTTAGTTTTTCCTTCAAATAATATAGTTAATAGCAAAATTTTTATCATTAAGAACACTAACTATACATTATAGATTTTGCAATTTTTTTACCTTCATATCAAATATTGAATTCACATATTTTGTCTCTATGTAAGCAAATTGTAGAATTTACAGATTGATGAATAGCAAATAGATACACTGACAAGTAATGATTTTACAACAGATATTAATTGTATAGAGATAAAAGCTCATTTCAAGTGCATGCGTTGTCTTTAGTGTTTTAATTAGTAAAGATGCTTGCTTTTTTTTAGTAATATATGTCAGAAATGTTTTTAAGATCTTCTCATGTTGTTGTTAACACCTTATATGTACAGAACTTTTAAGGTTTTCAGTGGTCCTTTTAGTCTTATATTTTCAAATTTGTATTTGCACTAACTTTGATTATTCTTATGCTGAAAATTTTACGATGTTGAAATATTTGCACTTGTAGCTCAGAAATATAATGTTGTATTATACTGCGCATACATTTTCTAGAAGCAATTGTCAGAAACTTTAAGCATGATGAAGCAGAAGAAGTTTCATTTCAAAGTAATGAACAGTTGAAAAATAAAGAAATTGAAGTATCAGAGTTATGCTAATTATCTGTTATAGTAGTCATTTCTCTTTATTCATTTGTAATACTGTATAATATTTTTAGTCTTGGATAAAGTTTAGTTTTGCATAACAAAGCATCTAGGTAATTTCTAGGTTTCTTGCTAAATCGTTTTTTTGTTTTGTTTTTCAATGACATTGATCAACTGAGATTGTTTGAAGTATTTACGTATAGATAGATAGCTGTGAAACAAAAGCCATTAATAAATTTCTTGTGTTTTTATGTTCTTGGGTTTAACCTATGATTTAAAAGTTTCGTGCACTGCCCTTTGGGCTTACTTTGGCCCCATATGTTTTTGTTGGGTGGTCAGAGCATTCGCTTGTGACTTACATGCTCTCAGGTTGTGCTTTCATCATTATATGGATGACTGACTACTGTTAGCTCATTCCAAACAGGAGTCCACCGGTCACACTCAACGGCTGCTCCTGGAGGCCGCTCAAGTGAGCTGGTTAATCAAGTTGGAGAAGTCATTCCTGCAACCTACCCAATTTCTTCTCCATTTGGGTGTTTTTTCAACACACATCTCAGTCAGGCCCAACCTTCTCCTCTTTGACTTTGTTCAATGGAACTTTCACTTCTCCACGCTCTTACTCTATTACAGCCTGTGAGGTTCTATTGCTTTTGTGGATGTGGTCTTCCATGGCAGCCCTTATCTCCTTCAGTTAGGCTCTTCACGATCAATGGAATCTCATTAGTGATTCTTTGACTGCTCTTATTACCCTTCCTGCTACACAACTCAACAATCTGCATCGGTGGTTGGACAAGACTCGCAACATTGGTGGGTGTCCCTTGCCTTCTTCTCGTCCAGATTTACATATTTGCATGGACACATCCCTTCAAGGATGGGGGGCATGGATCTATCAGCAGGAAGCTTTGGGGTATTGGTCTGTGGCTGAGAAGTCTTATCATGTCAACATCCTGGAGCTTTTTGCTGTACGTCATGCTTTGGTTCATTTTCTCCATCATGATCTATTCCAAATATTCTACAGTGATTGCTTATCTCAGTCATCAAGGTGGCACCCATTCTCGATCCCTCTGTATTCATATGTTGGATTTACTTTTTTGGGTCCACATGCTAAATATTCATATCATTGTGTGTCATGTTCCAGGTGCTTTTCAGTGGTTTTGCCTTCAGTGGGGTACTCCTCACATCGATGCTTTTGTCATGTCCTTCAACACAAATTGCCTCTGTTTTGGTCTCTAATCCTTCATCCTCTTACTCTGTCTGTCGAAGCTTTCAGCCAGGTCTGGACCATTCAACTTCTTCATTGGGTGATTTCAATCATCCATGCCACTCTGTGTCAAGTCCTTCTGATTGCTCCTTACTGGTTGCCTCAGCCGTGGTTTCCACTGCTTCTTCAGCTCCAACTTACCCCTCCATTTTCTCTTCCTCTGACTCCAACGTTCTTCGTCAACCTCTGTCACTGATGTTTCATCCAGCTCTTTCTGTCTTCACACCTGATTTTTAACCAGTCATAGGTGAGGAGATCTGGCTTTTTCCAATGGGTAGTTTCTTTTCTGACTCGTTCCACTTGCCCTTCCTTCATGGAAGTTTATCAATGTAAATGGAACATTTTCCACCATTGGTCTTTGGGGCGAGGGTTTCCCCCTGCTCATCCCACTGTCCCTCATACTGTGGATTTCCTCACTTGGGTTTTTGATCAGGGGCCTTGTCCCACACCTTGTTTTTCCCAGTACTGTAGGGTGTTTACTTCTCCTATCCTTTCCCTGTTGTTGCATTCCTTCCAGACTTGTTGTTTGCCATGGCTGGCTGCCCATCCAGATTGAGATGTTAATGTGGTCCTTCACTTCCTCACTTTGTCTCCATTTGAACTATTCTCCATGTGCTCCTTGTTTCATCTTTTCCTTAAGACTTATTTCTTTCTCCTCTTTACCTGTGGGTGTTAAAGGTCTGATTTTTTTGCCATCGATCTATGTCATGTACTCTTTATCATTCTACATATCTTCTCCTTTATCTAGATCATTTTTTCCTCTCCAAAACTTTGGTGGCTCATGAAAGTAACTCCTCCTTTTCACTGATTTCCCTTCTGTCCATTTCCCACTTTTATTCTCATCCTGATCTGGATAGTCTTTTATGTCCTGTACATGCTCTTCACTGTTATATTGCCCACACAGCTTCCTTCCATGGTTCTTGTTCCTGCCTCTTTATTTCATGGCAGTTGTCCTCTGTTTGTGATCTTTCTCCTTCCATAATTCAACAGTCGGGTTCAGCGTTTAATTTGATTGGCTTATTCCTCTTTATTGTCTTCCTCCCATTCTTTGTTCTGGGTATCTTCTCATCAAATTCGACACCTTACCTTTTCATTAGCATCTCATCTTCTTTGTCCCTTGGAGGAAATTCTTCAATCAGCATGTGGACTACCCCTAATACATTTATCTCTCACTATTTGTATAGAACTGCAGTTTCTTCATCTTTGAGCTATCGTCTTCCACCTGTAGCCATTCCTCAGATTTTAGTGAGACTTTGACTGGGTAGGTGATTTTTAATTATTCTTTATTTCTTTTCAGGGGCCTTTTTTATTATTACTTATTGTTTGGATCCCGCTCTGTGGTGAGTGGTGCCTGATATGGTCTTCTTAACCACTCAAATCCACATTCTAAAGTCATGTCAACTGACATATTATTTCCATGGCCACGCAACACACACTGCAGAGATGGGGTGTTTCACAAGATTGCTTGTAGGTTTATTCTTGCGATGGAATTGCTTCAATAATTTGCCCTTCCTTGACCGTACTCACCCATGGTCTACATGGGGAAAGCAGAAGGGGATAGTATTGAATAAATCGGTATGGTCTGCTTTTCAAAATAGGGTTTCATGGTCACCCATTGCACTGTTTCAGGTGTTATCATTCTTCCAGACTCATTACCATATTTTACCTACCTTTTCTTCTAGTGGAGTTTGAGAGTCCTTACCACCTTCCATTTCCAAGCCGCTGGGGTGGTGGACCATGGAGGCATCCTCCTGAAGGGGTTAATGAAATACAAAATACAAACAAAATATAGAAATGATTATAAAACCATTCAGTTGAGAGTAGAGTGGTGGTGTTCTACTGGTGTAGATGATATGATATCCTCCAATGTGAAGTAAATATAAATGGAAGTGAGTTGTCAAAATTACAGTTCACCCCTTCAGTTGGGAACCCTCATCCTTCCCCCACACAGATGTTGGTTCTGGGTGGATGGCTTTTGGATTTAGAGTTGAATCAATCAGCATAAGTCCTCACACATATATTACAGATGTCTATATTCCTCCATCAGTAATACTTTTGTTACTCTATCTGTGTTGTAAGTCACAGTGGAGGTACTTGCACATTATTTCAGTTCTTCCCCTCCCGCTATTCTTGATGCTTATTATTCTAAGGATGTTACTGTGCTTAGGGCGGTTCTGTCACTTTCAATTTTGAGGGAGATGTCAGATTCCCAGATCGATTTATCAATTTCCTATATTAACATGTGCGTCGTTCATGGGTCTGTGGGTTCTTGATCCCCTCCAGTCTCATGAACTTGGGGTAAGATGGTATAGTGTTCTTTCTTACCCCCACATGGATGTTGGTACCCGGTGGCCGGGTTTTGGATTGTAGTTGACTTATCAATGGTATGATCCTCATAGTACCCCAGTGTGGATGTTGGTTCCCAGTGGCATGGGTTTTGTACGTATGAATGGTCCGTCGCACCATAGCCACTGTACACCTAGAACACATCCTTTTAATTTAACCCACTTTTATATTTTGTGGGATAGAATTTTATAAATATTATATGGTTCAGATCACTATCCAACCTTTGTGCTCTCCCATTTGGACGTGTTTCTCTGTTTTTCTGCCCATATGTGCAACATTTTTCTATGATGGGTGATGAGTATACCTAGTTCAGAAGTGGTGTGGTCCTCCAAATCTAAGTATCTAAGGGAGTGTCCTTCGGACGCTTTCAAAAGATGCTTCTTTCTTTCCCTCGCATCAGTCCCTCCACCTATTCAATTTGCGATCCTAGCTATTTAGGTGAGAAGAGGTAATTTGCTGTATTGGAAGTATAATTTTCCTATACTGAAAATGTATATCCAATAGGTACTCACCTCCCCTC